GTACCTTATTAGCCACTTCTTTTTGGACACTAGGATGAAGTCCATCATGACCCAGGGCCGAGTCAACCCACAGCTCCGTCACATTGTTCAGGACTACTTCCATACTGACTGCAATTTCCTGAAGTTTTTCTTACTGGAATATTTCTTGTATGTTATATCATGAAGACAGAAGCAAAATATTTATTTATTTTATCTGCTATTTTCTTATTATCTATTATTCACTCCTTTTTCTCACTGTTTAGAGGACAAACACTCACTTTGCTTACTCTTTTCCTTTGTAAATACCTTTGGAAACTCTTGTTTTTCGTTTTTACATTTCTAGCTAGCTTTCTCTCAAATTTCTTTCTTCTGATTAATCTAACCTGCTAATTATCTTTGTGTAGTTATATGGTTTTTCCTTATGTTTGGCTCTTTTTCTAACATCTTTAATTAGCCACAGATGGTAGGTCCTTCCTTTTGAATTAGACTCAATAATCGATAATGAAGAAATGGTGAATGAAATGAACAAATACCTTGCTTCTGTCTTCACTATAAAGGATACAAAAAGCATATCTTAATGAGTGTAAGTCAGGAGGTGGGCCAGAGAAACTTCATGAAGTTATAATCATGAGGGAAGTGGTACTGAGCAAACTGATGGAGCTGTGAGCTAATAAGTCTCTGGCTTCAGATGGATTTCATCCTAGCGTCATAAAAGAGATTGCTGACGAGATGGTAAATGCATTGGTGTTAATCTTTGTTTAAATCCCAAAGATCTATAAAAAAAATTCAGGAAATTTTCTATTAGAATTGAATATAGCAAATATAACACCTCTAACCAAGAAGGGAGACAGAAACCAGGAAACTATAGGCCTGGCAGCATCAGAGGAGCAGGAAAGCTGACGTTTCGGGTCAGGACCCTTCTTCTGAAGGATCCCGACCCGAAACATCAGTTTTCCTGCTCCTCTGATGCTGCCTGGCCTGCTGTGTTCCTCCAGTTCCACACTTTGTTATTTCTGACTCCAGCATCTGCAGCTCTTGCTATCTCAAACTATAAGCCGGTTAGCTAGACATCTGTCATGGGGAAGATGTTTAAATTGGTCATTAAAGTCAAACCTTGAATATGGTGTGCAGTTTTGATCTCCTTGTTTCAGAAGGATGTAAATGCCTTGGAGGCTGAGGTTCGGAAGAGGCTTATTAAATTGAAACCTGCAATGAGCAGGCTGTCTCATGTGGAAAGGCTAGACACAATTGTCTCGTTTCCACTAGACTTTAGAAGTGCAAGAAGCGACTTGATTAAAGTACAGCGTATAAAATCCTGAAATAAAATCAGAAAGTGCTGCAGAACATCCGCAAAATTGGCAGCATTTCTGGAGGGAGAGAGAGTTATCATTTCGAGTCCAATGACTTTTCTTCAAAACAGTGTTTCTGTTTCTCCCTTTACAAATGCTGCCAAACATGCTGAGTTTTCTCAGCACTTTCTGCTCTTATTTCAGATCTCCAGCATCCACAGTACTTTGCTTTTATATAGGGTCCTGAATGGTCTTGTGGGTGACACCAGCACTAAGGGCTACTGTTTAAAAGTTAGGACAGAGATGCGAAGAGAATTTTTTTTCTTTCAGAGGGTTTTATGATTTTGGAACTCTCTGTATCCATCCCTGTCTCCATTGGTTGCATGTGTGACAGTGATTTGTCCTCACCAGATTGTGCTTTCTATTGTTTTGAAAAGCAATTATCCATCAAGGTGCCGGTATCTGTACTTGTACTGACTGCCAGCAAGGATTGGGGATGTGTCACTTTACTCTCTGGAGACTTCTCTTTCTCCTCAGAGATTACTATGGGCTCCACAGAATGTTTCTTGTAGCTTCTGGTAGTCTACTTCTGCAGCAGACAAAAACACAGGATACTGCGATCTTCAACTTCCAACTTGAGTACATATATATTCTACATTTGACATGTAGTTCTCAAATTTGTGCACAATATTCCCTGCTGTCTAACCAGCCCCAGGCCATTCTTGTATCTTACTTTCTCCAATGGACCATCTCCAAAGCGTTCTGCTCCACAGGCTTGAAGATCACCAGGTATGGCGCACTACCTCCTGTACACTGCCTCTTACAGGCACTGTGAGCCATCTTCTCCTTAATGGAAAGGCAACTTTACAAAGATTTGATATTTACTGCACTGTTCACTCTTCTGACCTCTAAAAAGTCCACAGGTGCAGGAGTCTGCAGCACCAAATGGACAATGAATCTTTCAAATTTCTTTCCCTTGCCCTGCTGTCCACTTTCCTCTTCACATCCTTCCCCAAAAACCCATGATTAGGCCTACAGTGTACAGTGACATCAGTTTACCATGGAACTTTACATTTTTGATCAGTGTAACATTATAATATCGTCATTGAGCCTTCCCACATGCTTCCTCCATGCTTGTACAATTCCAAAATAAAGCCTCCCTCAATCTGGCAGATTATATAAGGTTGCTGAGGCACTTCCCTGCACTGCATCCAAGTTCTTCATATGACTTCAAGGCTAATGACCTCCTCTCAGGCTGCTTTGGTCAGGTTGTGAGGCTCCTTTTGCTGTCAGCAGGCATAGGACCTCTCTCTTCATATTTACAGCCTCGAGGAGGACGCACAGGATTTGACATTGAACCTTATCACTGTTATTTTCCTTCCATGCTGGTGAGCAGCACTCTGCCTTCTCTTGGCCATTTGTGAAACCACAAGGTGATGACTCAAGGAAATGTGACTGATTCACCAGAAATTCCTGCAATACTCAGGTGTCTGTCTGAAATACATTGAACTTCCTCCAGCCTGCCGCAGTTCAATTAATCGACTGATAGATAATAAAAAACACACAAATACACAACAGTTGGCACTCACCTCATAGATCAAAACCTTATTCACAAACTAAAATTCTTTCCTCACAAGTTCTCAGCCCTGGGGCTCCTGATATTCCTTTAAATGAATGGCTATGGCCTCCTTCCAGGTCATGGTCTTCCAGTTTGGTGGCCGGACACCCCAACCTCAATAACTCTTGTTGGTTGAGAGCATACTCAACGCCTGTTAATTGCACAATTTATGTTATGCGTCTAAGTCTATCCAAAATGATGTGGAGTCCATAATTTACACAATTCTGGGTTGGCTATCCCAATGAGACATAAAATTCAGCCTATGATACTGTGGCTAAAACAGAGACCAGGGTCAAAGAAGGTTAGGACTGGATATTAAATATCCCTGGATACAAGCTATTTAGGAAAGATAGGAAATAAAGGAAATGGGGAGAGGTAGTGGTATTGATTAGGGAGAACATTGCAATGCTGGAGAGAAGGACATTGTTCCAGAGTGGTCAGGGATTGAATCTTTTTTACTTTGAACTGGGGAACAAAATGGTTCAATTACATGACTAAGTGCAGTCTAGCGACTATCAACTAGTGGGAAACATATAGAGGAACAAATTTGCAAGGAAATTGTAAGAATTATCATATTTGAGGACTTTAATTATGCAAATATAAAAAGGGATAATAGTAATCGCGTAAAGAGCAGAAAGAGCAAGGTTTCCTAGAGTGTGTTCAAGAAAGTCTCTACAGCAGTATGCTTCACATTGAATGAAAAAGAAAGCACTGCTAGAACTTTTCCTTAGGAATTATGTCCCTTGTGATTAACACTTCAACTAGGAGGAACAGCTACCATGTATCAGAGGGATGACATGGTGGCTCTGTGGTTAGCACTACTTCTCACAGGACCAGTGGCCTGTGTTCAATTCCACCCTCAGGCAACTGTCTATGTGAATTTTGCACATTCTCTCCATTCTGCACTGGTTTCCTCCCACAGTACAAATATATGCAGGTTACGCTGATTGGCCATGCTAAATTGCCCATAGTGTCCAGTGATGTGCAGGCTAAGTGGATTAGCCATCAGAAATGCAGGGCATTGGGGGTGATGGTTTAGGTCTAGGTGGGATGCTCTTCAGAGGATTGGTGTGAACTCAATGGGCCAAATGGCCTGCTTCAACACTGTAGGGATTCTATCCAGCCTGTCCATGTACCTCATAGTCTTACAAACATCTTCCCCCCAGCTTTCTCTGCTCTAAAGAAAACAACTACAGTCTATCCAGCCATTCTTCATAGCTAAAATACCCCAAACTTGGCAACATCCCAATGAATCACCTCTGCAACCTCCCCAGTGCAATCACAACCTTCCAATTGTGCGGCAACTGGAACATGCCCCACGGCATTATTCTGTGCCTCTGGAATAGTAGTCTGGTGACATTACCACTACATCACTAGCTGCCCGCAGAGAGTTGATGAGGGCAATGCTACTGCTGTAATGAACATGGGGTATTGTATATGGTTCTGGGCCTCACAGTTTAGGAAGAATTTGAAGATATTGGAAAGACTGCTGAAAAGATTCCAGAGAATCGTTTCAGGGATGAGGAATTTCAGTTAAGAGGCTATATTGGAGAAATTGGGATGATTTCATTGGAGAAGAAAGGCTGAGCAGAGATTTGATGGTGATATTCAAATGATATGTAGTCTGGACACAGCAGATAGACAAAAACTGTCCAAGAGTCAAGATAAAGAGGACACAGTTTTAGGGTAATTGGCAAAAGAAGCAATGGCGACATGACAATTCCTTATCATTCAGTGGGCGGTTAGACTTTGAATGCATTGCCTGACAGTGTGGTGGAGGCAGATTCAATAGAGGCGTTCATAGATGAACTACAATATTATCTGAACAGATAGAACATGCAGGGTTATGGGGCATGGGGAAGCATGGGAGCAGAACTAGGGCAACTGCTCAATTGAACAGTTAACACACACACACAGGCCAGATTCTGGGCTGTACCATTCTATGACTTTGGGAATACCTTTACCTAACAAAAATCTATCAAACTTTTTTTTAAGCAGACAGTTCCGTATTTCCATTTATGATATGGCACATCAGGTAGGAGAATCAATTTATTTAACGCACTTTTTAGTAAAAATACTTCTTACCACGACATTGTTTCGTTTTAACGATTTACCTGCAGTTTGACTTCCAGGACATCTTCTCCTGGCTGAATCAATCCATCACTGATTAGGTCTATTAAGTGTAGCTGCCTTCTGTGTCCACTTCCTTTATCCTCTGGTAGAGGTTCTGAATCCTTCTGTTTTCCAGACAGAGTGGAAACACTCATCAGGTTGTTATTTTGAATGCTCTGCGTAACCTGCGTGGTCTTTACCTGCGGAGTGCATTGGTTTGGCTGAACAGCATTTAACATCCCAGCAGGCGGACATTTACCACTCAGCTCTACAGTTTTAGAGTGCAAATTCTGTTGTTGATTCCAAACCCACTGTGATGTACTTGGCAATAGGTGATAGTTAGATTTCAATTGTGATGTTATCGGTTGGATAACATGAGATATCTGTACTGAATTCTTTAGTGGAAATGTTACTACTGGTTGTGTGACAACTGATGGAATATGACCATTTTGAGTGTTATGGCAGATTTGAATTGGATTTATGTTGATGACCTCCTTGTGATTAAGATTGGATGTTTCAGTGTTCAAGAGTGTATAATTAGGATTATTTTCAAAACTCTTTTCTGGATTATTAGTTGACTGTATGATATTCAAAAGACTACTCTGGCCAGAGATACTGCATGCTGTTAAATTTATGTAGTCAGTTTGTTTTGTGTTTAATGTTTCCATTTGAACTTGTGATGTGTCTAGAGAATGTGGTGGCAAAGTATTTGCATCCCCTTTATTTGAGACAGATTTGGAAGTACCTACTGTACATATATTGCTGTTGCTACTTGTGCCATTTAGTAGACAAGCACTGTCAGATCTTTGATTGCTAAATCCAGCTGTATTTACTTGCAGAATATCTCTTTTATCTGTATTCTGATTGGCAGCAATACCTATCTCACCCTGATTCAAACAAATCTGTTTTTGCATGAATTCTGGGTTGGAAGATGGACGAGGTATGTATGTTTCTTGAGAGGTTTCATTAGCAGAATTAGCACTCAGTTCCTCACTTTGATTCAAAACCTGTCCTTCATTTGAGCAAGTATCTGTCCGGATGGTGCTCTCAATAGTACAAGCCAAACTTTTGGTCGGGTTTACAGTATTATTTTGCTGCAATTGCTGTTGTTTTAATTTGTAATTGCGCAGCTTCTGATCTAATGCTTTTCTTTTCCGTAGCAGATTTAGAAATCTCCTTTGCCGAGAGACTAGAGCTGTTAGTTGTTTCTGTAGTGTGTCCTGTCTGAATGATCCGGGAGATATCCTGTAGGATAAAAATGGGAACAAACTGATACATTTTACATGCAGCATGAAGTTGTTGAGAAATGGCAGCAAGCATGTAGAACAATAGTAAATATAACTTAAATAATTTATTTTACGTTACGCTAATTTATTTCTTTCAGTTAGTTCATTTTTACTGCCACGTACAGTCCCACAACAGATGTTGTCATAAATAAATAAACTCTAAGAATTATGGGCAGGTAAGGGTCAATAATTTAATGACGATTCTCTATCAAGTGGATGATTTTAGTCAAGATTATATGGTTGCTTTGCACGTTATTCACAACAACAGTTAACACGCTAAAATATTTCCTTTAGCAAGCTAAATTTGTAATTGATCAGATCAGGAGGAGAAACAATCCTCCAATAGCACATTATCTTACACACAGACTAGCCTTTACAATAATTTTAATTCAGCAAATTTTTAGATGCGTTTTTAATAAATGACAGAATTCCTAATATGAAGTCAACGTGCACAGCACAATCATCTATTTAGAGACATCATGCATTAGTACCATTGGGGTTCTCTCAAGTTATTTTCTAGAATAAAATAGAAAAAAAGTTTCCTGATTCATAAAGGCATCATTCCAAATGTATAAAAATGAATAGATCAAGCAGCAAATGGAAGGAATAATGTACTGGTTCCAAACTTAAAAGGAAACACACCTCACATAAGACCGAAAGTAATAGGAGCTGCAGTGGGTCATTCAGCCCATTGAGCCTGCTCCGCCATTCAATGAGATCATGGCTGATTTGATAGTTCTCAACTTCACTTTCCTGTATTTTCCCTATAACCCTTGATTCCCTTACTGATTAAATATCAGTTTATCTCAGCCTTGAAAATACTTATGATACAACATTGAGAGCTCTTCTGTGGTAAAGAATTCCACAAATTAAAGTGGCACAGTGGCTCAGTGGTTAGCACTGCTGCCACACAGCTCCAGGGACCCAGCTTCGATTTCTGCCTCAGGTGACTGTCCGTGTGTTGCGTTTACACATTCTCCCCATGTCTGCATGGGATTCCTCTGGGTGCTCTGGTTTCCTCTTGCAGTCCAAGGATGCGCAGGTTAGGTGGATTGCCCATAGTATTCAGGGATGTGTAGATCAGGTGGGTTACAGGGAGATGGGTCTGGGTGGGCTGCTCTTCAGAGGTTTGGTGTGGACTTGTTACCCCAAAGGGCCTGTTTCCAAACTGTAGGGATTCTATGATCAGCAGGGCTGCCTATGTGTGGAACTGGGGGAGAAACTAATGAGTACTTTGCATCAGTGTTTACTGTGGAGAAGGATAGGGAAGATATATAACGTGGGGAAAATTGAAAAATGTCCATATTACAAAGGAGGAGGTGCATAAAGGTGGATAAATCCCCAGGACCTGATCAGGTGTACCTGAGAACTCTGTGATTGCTGGGCCCCTTTGTATCATCAATAGCCAGAGGTGAGGTGAAGGAAGACCGAAGGTTGGTTAATGTGGTGCAACTACTAAAGAAAGGTGGTCAGAAAAAGCCAGTGAGCCTAAAATCAGTGGTGGGCAAGTTGTTGGAGGGGATTCTGAGGGACAGGATTTAAATGTATTTGGAAAGGCAAGGACTGATTAGTGGTAATCTACATGGCTTTGTGCGTGGGAAGTCATGTCTCACTACCTTGATTGAGTTTTTTGAAGAAGTAATGAAGAGGATTGATGAAGGCAGAGCGGTGGACATGATCTATACGGACTTCAGTAAGGTGTGTGACAAGGTTCCTCGTGGGAAACTGGTTAGCAAGGTTACATCACATGGAATACAGGGAGAGCTAACCATTTGGATACAGAACTGGCTCAAAGGTAGAAGACAGGGTAGTGGTGGAGGATTGTTTTTCAGATTGGAGGCCTGTGACCAGTGGTGTGCCATGAAGATCGTTGCTGGGTTCACTGCTTTTCGTCATTTATATAAATGATTTGGATGTGAACATAGGAGGTGTGACTAGTAAATTTGCAGATGACACCAAAATCAGAAGTGTAGTAGACAGCAAAGAAGGTTAATTCAGAGTACAACAGGATCTTGATCAGATGGGCCAGTGGGCTGAGGGGTGACAGATGGAGTTTAATTTAGGTAAATGTGAGGTCCTGCATTTTGGAAAGACAAATCAGGGAAGGACTTAAACACTTAATGGTAAGGTCCTGTAGAGTGTTGCTGAACAAAGAGACCTTGTAGTGCAGGTTCATAGTGCCTTGAATGTGTAGTTGCAGGTAGATAGGATATTGAAGAAGGCATTTGTTATGCTTGCCTTTGTTGGACACTGTATTGAGTATAGGAGTTGGGAGGTCATATTGTGACTGTACAGGACATTGGTTCGGCCACTATTGGAATACTGTGTGCAATTCTGGTCTCCCTGCTATAGGAAGGATGTTGTGAAATTTGGAAGGATTCAGAAAAGATTTACAAGGATGTTGCCAGGCTTGGAGGTTTAAGCTAAAGGGACAGGCTGAATAGGTTGGGGCTACTTTCACATCCGAATCATTTATATAAATGACAAAAAGCAGCAGACCGAGCACCGATCCTTGTGGCACACCGCTGGTCACAGGTCTCTAGACTAAAAAACAACCCTCCGCCACTGCCTTCTGTCTCCTACCTTTCAGGCCAATTTTTTATCCAAATGGCTAGCTCTCCCTGGATTCCATGTGATCTAATCTTGCTAACCAGTCTATCATGCAGAACACTGTTGAATGCCTTGCTGAAGCCCATACTGACAACATCCACTGCTCTGCCTTCTTCAAAGAATTCTAGTAAATTTGTGAGGCATGATTTCCCTTCATGAAGCCATGCTGACACTGCTTGATCATGCTAGTATTTCAAAATGCTGTGCTAATATATCCTTTATAATACTTTGACACTTTCCAATAACAGATATTAAGATGACTGGCCTATAGTTATATGGTTTTTTTCATCTGCTTCCATTAGCTCATTGAAACAGCAATACATATAAAAACGTGCCTGTTGATATGAATGTTTCAAACAACAAAACAAAACTGGAGGATTATCAGAATGTTAACTGCAAGTTTTAATTCTACACACACGGGAGTTAAATACAGTCAGTACAGAAGAGGTAAGTGAGTTAGTAATTACTAGAAAGCAATAAGCAATAAGAAATAGTGAGAACTAAAATTAAGCACTGAAGTATCATACTTTCAGGTGCCATTTTGGCAATTACGAGGTCACATACCTGACTGGAAAACAGCTTATCACAAAGTAAAAAGTATGATCTAGAAGCCCTTTTCAAAACAGGGGGTGTGAAAATGATTTTACATGCAAAGCCATCAAAAATTTGATTACAGGAGTTATCCTGGAGCTTCGAATGAGATGGAAAATATAAGGCTGCAAGATTCTTTGGCATACAATTATGGTTTCAGTTCAATAATGCAATAAAATTTTGGACTTTAGCCAGGAACCCAAGATAAGATAATACAAATAGTGCAACAGATGGACGAATTGAGCAACATTATCTACAAAAAAAATCAAAATCGACAAAAGTAAATACAATCATAAAATGACTATTCAAATAATTTGGAATATTAGAAAGGTACTGTGGCGAATTTTCCACGGGTCTATGGAGACATGAATGGAAGCTGGGTGGTTCCAAAAATATCAATACCAGACAGCGTGTCAATTTCAAGGCACTGATACTGGCGCCAGCAATAATGAGTAACACAGGAGGAGGTTGAGATAGGAATCTGTTCTCATCCCTATTCCTATTATAATTGTTAAATTGCTCATGCTACACAGAGAAGAAAGGGATATTTCAGGGCCCAGAATGGAAAGCCAGTCATGCCTGCCAGAATCATCACCTAGACTCCATAAGAGGATCAGGAGGCAAAAGGTGAGTGCACACATGGCAGAAGATATCCTTGGCAGTACGCAGTTGCAAAGGCAAGTGGGCACTTCATCCTAAGCTTTAAATGTGATTGGTACTGAGGGGTCAAAACAGACAAGATCAACAAGATGGTCAGCGATGGTAAACAAAGGCTCCAGCTAACAATGAGAATAGCACTGTAAGATATTGTTTCCCATGGCATGAGGGATAAAACTCTCTGCAGGAAGTCACTGTGGTCTTAAACATCTTCACTTCTGGTACTGGACCAAGACAGCATATTCCTTTAATAATAGACATGTCATTGGGGGAACACAGTGCATTTCCACCTCCATCACTGGATCACCCCAGGTTCAGTGCTTCTTCAATTTCACCCATGCAACCATCAAGGCACCAAGTGATTCACTAGTCAGATATACTAACAGAAAGGGTTTGCAGTCTCTTGATGTTCAACTGGTATTCTACCACAAGAAGTTTCTCCATGTGCATGTTCACTTCTTGGCAGTGGACATGTCATCTGCCTTCTCAACAGGTACAGGCTGCCTCAGTTTTTCACTCCAACCTGTAAAGTGCAGACTGATGCTCACAGACAACAAAGACCCCTGAAAGGATGGCTGCTGACCTCTCTACTGGAGCCCCGGACAGACGCGCAAAAGCAAAATGCCCAATGTCAACTGTTCAGCAGGACACCTATGAATGGCCAGATGGTGCAATGACAACAGGTGATCTTTGTTGTATCTTTAGTTAGGAAACATTACCAAGTCTTCAATAGGTTTGAACAGTGACTAGTTGTCTCTCATATAATCTCTTATATCTTCACAATGGGAAGTGCTACACTGTTTCAGATTTTAAAGACCCATACTACATCTCTTCTCTAAGACCATGTACATATATATATTTTATATAAATTTTTACATTTACATACTACCTAAACCCACCATGTCTCTGAGACGACAGCTTCAATCAATCAAGAGGCTTCAATCTCTGTGATTTTGTTCTTGTCAGATTTGAAATATTGATAGTCTTTCTCTGAACTCTTTGTTTCTTGACTTGGAAGGCCTTCATTGAGATTTGTAGCATCAGCTTCTTTCTGAATTTCAGGTTCAATATCTGATTCATCAAATGTCTGACTGACATCTTTCTTGAGTAGAAATGAGATTTCTTCTTTTTATAGCACCTGCTGAGTTATTTACCAAATAACATCTCTGTTGATATCATCTCCCTGCATGACTACTCCTTGTCTGCCTTGGTCTTGTTTCTGGTACAATGTTTGTTGTTATAGTTAGAAGCTTGTGGGCGTCCATAAAACATCTCTGTGGCTTGCACTCGGTGATAATCTTGACTCCTAGCCCTGGAGATAACTTTTATTGTAGAATGGGAAGTTGAGGTCTCAACTTTCTTCCATCAGTAGTTGGTGCAGACTTGATTGGCCAAAGGGCATCTTCTGTACTATATGATTCTCAGTTCTATACCACCTGATACAGGAGTGGATCGGTAGTTTAGCAATGCTGTTTGAAACTCTCCATTGTTAACAGTTTTTTGATTCTCATTCAGGTTTACCGTTGGACTGAGGACATTGTGGAGAACTTGTAAGGTGTACAAATCAAATTTTTGGCAAAATGCACGAAGTATTCATTTGCAAATTGTGGATCGTTATTGGAGGCAATCTGATTAGGAATACAAAGACAGAAGTTGCTGAAAATGCCTAGCAGGTCTGGCAGCATCTGTGAAGATTTCCAGCAACTTTTGTTTCTGTTTTTGTTCCTGATTTACAGCATCCACAGTCCTTTTGGTTTTTATCTGGTTCAGAGTACCTTATGTTGTTCTAATAGTTGTTTCAGTAGTTGTGTACAATTTGACACAATTTTTGACTTCAACCTATCTTGAAAAATAATCATGACAATCAGGTAGAATTTCTCATTGAACATAGATGAATAGATCCATCACCAAATATCGAAATAAGGGGTTCCCTCTGTTTTGGTTGTGCATATTTTGCAAATAGGAATCATCCTTTCTATAGATCTTGATCCTCCCAAACCACCGCATGGATAGCTGAGCTGTGGTCTGCATTTCATGATATCCATGATTTTGGTGTATTTCCTGCGTGATGAGAATGAGACTGGAATCATTCTCGTCATTTCCAGCAAATCATCAGAATAGTAAAATGGTTCCTGGGCCAAAAGAAGGTTTTCACTAGTATACCAATGAGACACTGCTGCGGCCAACATTTATGCGTTCCTTAAATGAATTACTCATCTTGAAACTGTGGATGATAAATTTTTAAGAATTCACACTTTCCATTAAGCGTTCGGCCCAATTATTGTAGATAATTCAAAACTGCTCTAAACCTTAGATCATGTTCTTCAATGGATTCACTATGGACTTATATATCATCCAAGAGAAACATTAGTCCTCTGATGTCCTGTAGAATGTCCAACATAGTTCTTTGGAAAATTCCAGTGCTGACATTACACCAATTGGCAAACGATTAGAACAAAACCTTTTAAATGGAGTAAAGAAAGTTGTCAGTAACCTTAATTTCTTATCCAAAGAGGCATGCCAAAAGCTGCTGTTCATGTCCAACTTTGTGAAAATCATAGTTCTGGAGATGACAAGAGTGATTCCAGTCTCATTCTCATCACGCAGGAAATACTCAGTTCTATACTTCCTTACCCCCCTCCAACCCCTAGCCCATCCACACACACACACCTCTCTCTCCCTCCCATACACACATATACTCACACACACATATACACAGCCTCTCTCCCTCCCTCCCTCCCACCCACCCACCCACCCACACACACACACCCACACACACACACACACACAAACACACACACACACACATATGAATCTATGAGGTGAATTTGTCTTTGTAGATACATTCTATTTTGTTCAAAAAGCACACAATTTATAGATTGTCAGTCAATATGGCATTTTATAAATTCCTACTTTAGAAATAAAACTAGTCTGCCTCCAAACTAAAACACAAACAGATTTTAAACATGATCTCACACCTAACATGCATTGTCTGACCTAAAATGTCACCTCTTCTTTACACTGATAAAAACTTTAGTTCTCTCAGGACTGTGACTTGAAAGGAATTCAGGGATTTACATATACATATTAATCAATTAAAACTTTCTAACCGATTAAAGATTTAACAGCATCTTAGGTTTGCTTAGTGCATCCTCATCAATGGTGTGAACCTTTTATCTTTTACTCATAAATTCTGTGTCTGATACTACCTTTCTCACTAACACCTGAAGAAGGACTGAGGCTCCCAAAGCTTGTGTTTTCAAATAAACCTGTTGGACTACAACCTGGTGTCATGTGAACTCTTGTCCACCCTAATCCAACAACGCACCTCCACATCATGACTACTGGAAGAGCTATACATTTCCTAGTCAGAATGGTGAGGCCAGAGGAACTTGCAGGTGGTGGTGTTCCACTGTATCTGCATCCCTTGTCATTCTAGATAGTGGGTGATGGTGGGTTCGGAAAGCGCTGGAGGAGGCCACAATAATCTTATTGAATGACAGAGAAAGGCTAAAGGGGCTGAGTGGCCTACTTCTCCTGTAATTTATAGAGTCATAGAGTCTTACAGCACAAACTGACTCTTTTGTCCAACTCATCCATGCCAACCAAGTTTCCCAATCCAAACTGGTCCCACTTGCCTGCATTTGGCCCATATCCCTCTAAACCTTTACTATTCATGTACCTGTCCGAATGTCTTTTAAATGTTATAACTGTACCTGCATCTACCACTTCCTCTGACAGTTCATTCTACATACAAACCAGCCTCTGTGTGAAAAAGTTGCCCCTCAGGTACTTTTTGCCCTCTCACCTTAAAAATATGCCCTCTAGTTTTGAACTCCCCCATTAGAGATAAGACCTTTGTTGTTCACTATCTATTCCCTCAAGATTTTATAAACCTCTACAAGGTCACCCCTCAACCTCTTAGGTTTTAGTGAAAAAAGTCCCAGCCAATCCAGTCTCTCCTTATAACTGAAACCCTCCAGTCCTGATAACATCCTGGTAAATCTTTTCTGAAACCCCTCCAATTTAATAATACCCTTCCTACAGCACAGTGATCAGAGAAGTATACAGAATTCCAAAGGTGGCCTCACCAACAACCTGTACAACTGCAACATGACATCCCAACTCTTATACTCAATGGTCTGAGCAACGAAGGCATGCATGCTAAACGCCTTCTTAATGCCTTTCAGTTTCACTGGTCAAAGACTGCCCAGCCTGTCAATTTTATTGAAGAAACAGTTTTTCATATGCACTCATCTACTTGATTTTGGTGAGTTGCTGACAGTCTAGCAAAGAGTGCTCTGGCTGTTAAAGTTATAAATTTGGTTTAAAAAAGAAGTTAGTGACCTAAATACAGTTTGACTATCAGTTACCCCCCCAGCAGCTCCAAGGATCTTTTTCATTGGCCTGAAACCCACCCATGTGAAAGCTGCAAGTAGACAGGATGACATTGGGACATCGACCAGTTACCTTTTTCAGGGAAATTAACGGTATGCATCTTCCCCTATCTGTTAAAACTCCCCTTATTATTAATGACATCAGCTACTGAGCAATCTGCCCATTTTTGTCTGCAAACAAAACATAAGCACTTGGTGGAAAACTGAACAATTTCAGGTGGAAATTGCATTCGATCCTATGTGTAAAATGTGCTATGTGGAAACAGGCTCACAGTTCAGTCCCAGTTGATATTAATATAATTTTTATCATTGTCAGTAACTTATGCTGTTGTTTACAGATTGCATTACTAGATAGAAAGAAACTGACATGTCTAAGAGCTGTCACCAGAAAGAAAAGGTTATTGAAAATGTCAATTTATAAAGTGGTAGCATGGAAAAATTGAATTATATACAGAGTAGATACAAAATTCAATTACATTACTGGCAAAAGAATAGAAATGATGCATTGACTCCAATTTCATTTAAAAACTTGGTGTGCTCAATTGAAATTTCATTTGTCCAATAAATGCTTTCTCTTACAGCTATCTACTAGTATATTAACAATGTGCAATAATACATTTTCATGCACAAGATAACAAATGTATAATTTAATACTGTAACAAACAATAAGATGTGTTTATTGAAAAGTTTAGCACTGATCTATGATCAGTGTTTCATGATCCTTGGTGAGGTGAACTCCCTTTATTTCATTTCTCTTCTCAACCTGGACTCACAGTGCCGCAACCTCCATCAGGTGTAGGGAAAGGGGCCAGGTCCCAAATCCACTCCAGCTGGAATAAGTATCAAACCCTCCTGTCCTATGGACAGCAGTCTGATCCACGCCAGCTGTCCAGCCAATGGAGCCACTGCATTCCCAGACCTCCGAAGGCTCTGAATTGCTCTGGCAACACACACTCTTACATGCATTTTGTAGCCTGGAGCAATAGTGGTGGTAGAGTCTTCAATTTCTTTCTATCATATGACTGACCAGGAATCTCTCCCACACTTAGCCCCTGCCGTTGATGTACGTTATTAGGATTTACAAGTTTGTTACTTAATCTGTTTGAGTACTGAATGTATTTTCCTTGGTCACAGACTTAAACCCCAAACTCCTGGCTCAGAGGCAAGGATGTTACCCACTGCATCACAAGACATCTTCTGTGCTAGAATACCCACCAATAAATATTTTTTCATTCATACAATCCTTTTTCTTTTGTTAACTATCTATCTTGAATTAAAGATTTTGTAGATTTTATAAACTAGCTCCAAATGTCTTCAAGACAGCAGTGTGAATCAGACATGTACACATAGTCAACATATCTACACAACCAGTCTTTGTGTTTACTAAAATAAACGGACAGAAAATTATGTAACGCACTCTGCAGTCTATCACAGAACAGCTGATGTATGATTCATAAATACCTACCATCACAGTTTTAGTGCATTTAGTTTTATAATTTGAATCTTACCTAACTTTTTTCACAAGATCTTCCTTTTCAGCCTTATGTTTTGTAAGTACTTCATTTAAAACCTTCTGTATCTGGGACAACTCCAACTCAAACTGAGCTGATCAAACAAACAAAGCAGATTATTCAATCTGATAAAATCTATACTATGTTTTGCTGACATTTATCTATTTTATGTCACTGTGACAGGAACCCCATAAAAATGCGCAACCTCATGAATTTAATATATTATTGAACCCCACTATGCTAGATTTACAAGCTTTTCATAGTCCTCCCCAGAAAAATCTAATAGCAAATACAATCAGAAAAGTTTTCTGGAAAAGTAAATATAATTTGTCCAGAAGATCACAGACAAACTAGGACACTTTTTCTTAGAGGCACATCATATCATTCCAGGCTGTTGTTGACTCAAATAATTTTGCAATATATCAGAATTCATGCAGAGCCAGTCAGCTCCTGAAACAAGGGCACCCAGCAGAAGAAGCTGATGTACTGTTCATGCTTTGGAGGACAACTGAAATACTTGCTGCACCAACACTGGATCAGATCGTATTCATCAAATATTCTATAGAGGGAAGCATTGAGGTCACATGGGTTGTACATAGGAACATTAAGAACAAGAGAACATTCAACCCCCTATGTTAGGCCCATTTTAAAAAAAAAAAAAAATTATGCATGTGGGTATTGCTTGTAAGGCCAGCATTTGTTGCCATTCCCAATTGGGGAGGTGAAGTTTCTACCCTTCTTAAAATGCTTCAGTCTACCTCGTGTAGGTACAGCCAAATTGCAGGGAGTTTCAGGATATAGTTCCAAATCAGGTTGGAGTTTGCAGGAGATCTTGTAGGTTCTGGTGTCCCTATGCATCTACAGCCCTTGTACATCTATATGGTAGAGATTGTGGGTTTGGAGTGTACAGCTGAGGTTGTGTTACTGCAGTGCTTCTTACAGGTGGTACACACTGTTGCCACTTTGCATCAGTGATGGAGGGAATGAATGTATAGATTGGTTGATGTGATGCTGATCAGGTGGGCTGGGTTTGTCCTGAATGGTGTCAAACTTCTTGAATGCTGTTGGAAGTCACATTCATCCACAGTGAGAAGGCTTTGGTAAGTCAGGAGATGAATTATTTTGCTGCAAAATTCCAATCTCTGACCTGCTCTTGGTATTTCTATGAATGGTCAGTGATAACTCCCAGGATGTTGACTGTGGGCTATTCAGAGATGGTATTGGCATCAAATATCAAGGTGAGATGGTTAGATTCTGGCTTTTTGGAGATGGTCATTGCTTGTTACTTACGTGGCATGATCCATACAGTTAGATCATAGGTGATCTGCATTTTATTACAATTACATATCATTACTTCATACACATTGATATCCATATCCAGCATATGGCTGGTTTATGTGGCTGAACCAGTTAAATTTCTGGTAACTGGTAACTTTCAGACATAAATGGTGGGGATTTGGCAAAGGTCAATGGTACTGCATGGCGAGAGGCTGACTTGAGGTCAAGGCAAAAACAATTTATCACATTTCTGGAGTTTGGACAAAGTCTGTAATGAAATGTAGACCTGAGATAGTGTTGGGCAAGGAGTGGATCCTAAAAACATCCTAAGGACCCAAAGAAAAATCACAACTGAAACCAGCTGAAACTGCAATGAAATAGAGCAAGAAAGCTTAATAAACAGTACTAGAATAAAGCAAAGATAATTTTAAGGATATAACTTTTTTATTCACTTTTGTCGGATGTGGGTGTTGCTGGCTGCTAGCATTTATTGCTCGTCCCTAGCTGCCCTTGAAAAGGTGGTGGTGAGCTGCCTTCTTGAACCGCCACAGTTCACCTGCTCTGGGTTGATCCACACTGCCATTAGGGAGGGAATTCCAGGGTTTTCACCCAGTGACAGTGAAGGAATGGCAATAGATTTTCAAATCAGGTTGGTGACTGGCTTGGAGGGAACTTGAAGGTGCTGCCCTAGTTCTTCTAGATGGATGTGGCTGTGGGTTTGGAAGGTGCTGTCTGAGGATCTTTGGTGAATTTCTGCAGTGCATCTTGTAGATTGTACACACTGCTGCTACTGAGCGACAGTGGTGGACAGAGTGGATACTTGTGGATGTAGTCCCAATTGAGCGGGCTGCTTTGTCCAAGCTTCTTGAGTTTTGTTGGGGCTGCATTAATCCAGGCAAGGGGGAATATTCATCCCGGCAAGGGGGAAATATTCCATCATACTCCTGGCTTGTGCCTTGTAGTTGGTGGACAGACTTTGAGAAGTCAGAAGTTGAGTTACTCGCCACAATATTTCTGGCTTCTGACCTGTTCTTGTAGCTACTGTGTTTATGTAGTGAGTACAGTTGATTTTCTGATCAATGATAAGCCCCAGGATGTTAATAGTGGGGGATTCAGTAATGCTAATACCATTGAATGTAAAGGGCAGCAGTTAGGTGTCTTTTATTGGAGACAGTCCCTGCCTGGCATTTGTGTGTCGCGAAAGTTACTTGCCACTTGTCAGCCCAAGCCTGGATTTTGTCCAGATCTTGTTGCATTTGGACTTGGACCGCTTCAGTGTCTGAGGGGTCACAAATGGTGCTGAACTTTGAGCAATCATTGGCGAACATCCTCATTTCTGACCTTATGATGGAGGGAAGGTCATTGATAAAGTAGCTGAAGATGGTTGGGCCTAGGACACTATCCTGAGGAACTCCTGCAAAGAGGTCCTGGAGCTGAGATGACTGACCTCCAACAACCTCAACCATCGTCAAATGTGTCAGTTATGACTCTAACCACTGGGGAGTTTGCTCCCTGATATCCACTGATTCCAATTTTACTAGGGCTTCTTGATGCCGTGCTCAGTCAAATGCAGCCTTGATGTCAAGGGCTGTCATTCTTACCCCACCTCTGGAATTCAGCTCTTTGGTCCATGTTTGAACCAAGGCTGTAATGAGGTCAGGAGCTGAGTGTCCCTGGTGGAACGCAAACTGGGCGTCACTGAGCAGGTTATTGCTGAGCAGACGCTGCTTGATAGCAATGTTGATGACACCTTCCATCACTTTACTGATGATCGAGAGTAGACTGATGGGGTGGTAATTGGCCAGTTTGGATTTGTCCCACTTTTTATGTACAGCACATACTTGGGCAATTTTCCACATTTTTCCACATTTAAAAAGGTTACTGCATTAAGGAAATCTGCAGTCGCTTTCTATATGCTATGCTGGACTTCCAAGGTCTAATTACGTAGTCAGTTACATGATGACATATTGTGAAGCCATCACCATTCAGGTGAATGGGGGGGTGGAGAATCAGGTAAACAGGTCTTAGGCCTAACATTTCCACATTGCCAGGTAGATGCCAGTGTGGCAGGACTGCAGAGCTTAGATGTGGTCCATTGGTTGTGGGATTGCTTAGCTCTGTCTACCACTTGCTGCTTATGCTGTTTGGCTTGCAAGTAGTCCTGTTTGGTGGCTTCACCAAGTTGACATAATATAGAAAGTGACTGCAGATTTCCTTAATGCAGTAACCTTTTTAAAGGATCGCTAAACAAGTTAAGTGTACTTCTGGCAACAGTCACAGGAAACAATGCCAATAACTAATTCTAATTTTTAAACAATTTATGGAGATATCAGACATATATCATACAAATACAATTAGCCTCTGCACAAAATATGTAATACCTTGTGGAACAGTTTTCTCCAAATGTTAGGTCTAAGACCTGTTTACCTGATTCTCCACCCCCCCATTCACCTGAATGGTGATGGCTTCACAATATGTTATCATGTAACTGACTACATAATTAGACCTTGGAAGTCCAGTGTAGCATTCTGTGCTTGGGAATTCCTAATCACTGCTCTAGTTTAAAGAAATATATTATTTTGGTTTCAGCCGCCTTTGATGACCCATTTCAGTTATTCACCACCCTTTTGATTCTGATGTTCAGTTTTTGATTTTTATCCCAAGCTTCATCTTCAACATCCTGAACTTATACTATCCTTATGTATCTGGAAGTTTGGAGACAATTTTGACTTCTCAGCATTTTCAACAGGATCCAGTGCAGTGCCAAGAAAAGTGTAACAACCTTAGCAGGAGAGGCAATGGCCTAGTGCTATTTATCACTGGACTGCTGATTCAGAGACCTAGATAACATTCTGGGGGCCTGAGTTCAAATCCTGCCACGGCAGATGGTGGAATTTGAATCCAGTAAAAATATCTGGAATTAAGAATATAATCACGACCAAGAATCCATTGTTGATTGTCAGGAAAAACCCATCTGGTTCACTAATATCCTTTAGGGAAGGAAACTGCCATCCTTACCTGGTCTGGCCTACATGTGACTCCAGACCCACAGCAATGTGGTTGACTCTTAACTGCCCTCTATTAGGACAATTAGGGATGGGCAATAAATGCTGCCTAGCCAGCGTCGCCCTCATCCCATTAACGAATTTTTAAAAAGTGCAGGGAGGGGACACATTGGGCATTTGTTCAGCTATTGCAGACTGGCAATTATGATGGAAGTACCTGATAGGCCCAAGACTTAAATGGACTCATTTGAGCCAGTGAAAGTCCCTAAAAGTAAGATGTCCACAAGGATGAATTACTATTCACAAAGAAATAAATTACTATTGCAAAATAGCATTATAACCAAGTGTAAGTTCAAATGAGAAATTTGAAGGGATTCATGTGTACCCTTGTCTCCAGGCTAATCTAATCTCTGCCAATACCTTATAGTGGAAAAAAATACAGCTTTGAAATTGCCTAGCCTTTGTGAAATGGATAGCCCTGTTGCACCAACAGAGCTGCTGGCACTCAACCCTATTATTAAATTGATCATGTCCCTAGTGAACGAGATGGAAGTCACAAGAATATTTCAGTAGTTCCGGGTCGCTGTACTTTTGTTTGTATAATGGCACCATGAAATTTGTCCTGCAATCACAAATTTATACAAATAGTCTCACACGAAAGTCCATAAATCCAGTTTATAGTTAAATCCAGTTATAACTGCATCTTACAGGGAACTCAGATCAATAATTAACAAGTAATACTTTTAGTGGAATGAGTAAACATTTCAAATATTCTTACACTTTTTGTGTTACTCCTACACATGTGTACAGTGTCTGACCTTGAAAATCTTGCCCAATTTTCTGAGACACTTTTCTGTTGCTAGTTAGGGTACTGCCGGGGGTGAGGAGTAAGGAAGGGGTTTTAATATTCATTTGGATACTCAAAAGCTTTGAAGAACTACTCTGCCTGTTTTTGCTTGCAGTATGTCTGCAGTCTCAGTCAGCTTGATTGTGGTGAAGTATTTTGTGCTGCCTTCAATGATAGTATTTAGAAGTGTGGAATTTTTGTGGCCTGAGTTCTTTCAGAAACATTGAATTCTTTATGTTAATAGGTACCTCATATGGTGGAGATACTATGAAGAGGTGCTGATGGAAAATTATCAAAATGCATTTAAAAACAGTCCAATGTCCTAATGTCCAAATTACCTATGGAACCACAAAACCTGGTACCTTGCCCCGAAAGCCCAAAGGGTGGAGCATAAACTTCTTTCTGTAGCCTTTCTGCCTGGTTATACATTTCACGAGCTTTCCTCTGAACCACTAATGTGCTGACATAGCCAATATCACCAAGTAACACCGTGGTCTACACTCTTTCTCCTCTGGCATCTATTTATTCTTCAAGCATCGTAAGCTAAGGCCACACTGCTGGCTGCCCCTTTAATATCATCAATGCTTACAAACTCCCTGTTTCTCCTGAGATACCTTCCATTCTTCCAGACCTCAGCATCTACACTGAGCGACTCCTCAATCTCCTCCAGTGATTTCTACCTCTAACTCAGCACCACTGAACTCTCTTTTCATCATGCTCTTATTTTCCCTCAACTTTTCCCTTCAAATAAATTCTTCCCCCATATCTATCACCATTTCCTCAACGTTGTCAGCTAACAGCCTCTTTAGTCAAATAGTTTTGATCACTGCTGATCAATTTCTTATGAATCTTAGCACTTAGTTCTGCTTATCCATTCCAATTGCTCTTTCTTCTAAAGGTTCCTGCAAAAATATTTCACCCACGCTGCTTACAACCCCACTTTTAAACTGTGATTGGCCTTTTATTCATTAAGTTGCCACAGAACCACAGGTGATTTGTTCAATCACATTCTCATGACCATCCCTGAAGTACTTGGCTCCTATCTTGATTTAAGGTAGAAGCCCCCATCTTTAATTCCATAATGAGAGACCTGCACGTATAAGCATATCCCACATACTCTGAGCTTAGCTGTCCATAACCAGATATGTCAAACCACGTAAAATTCTACAGGGCCTCACTCTCATTTAGCATAACCACCAACTGCACAAAGATTACCCTGAAATGAGGGTAAATCCAGCTTCCTTTTGCCATTATCAAGATTGTCCTGAAACCCCTTCATCCTACTACCACCATCCTGACCTCTAAGACGTTTGGGATTCATGGAACTCTTTATAATCAAAATTATATGCTCAGCGGCCTCTAGTTTCATTTCATCCCGAAACCAAACCTTAGCCCATCACCATCTTGCCATCTTTGAACACAAAACTCTTTCCGGATTCTCCCTCACGTCTTTTCCAAGTTTATATTACATTTGTTCCAGTAATCCCATTTCCAAAAGACTGGCTTCCCTTCCAAATCATTACATTAGCCAAGACTGTAAGAGATACCATCTTCTTAAGTATTCATATTTTTCAAACCTGTTATCATCGCTCATTCCCTCAAAAAGAAACAGCCTTTACTCCATAGTGCATCATAAGTTTCTGCTTCAACTCTCACCACCATTTCCTCTCCAAGATCTTTATATTATCCACCACTTGCACAACGCCAAAGTGAAGTACAACATTTTCTTTGACTATAATACCTTAACCCTCCTTATTCACTTTACTGTAGTTTTTGATACAGTTTATCATAAATTCTCATTTGTATGTCAGCATTCTTGTTCTTTCAAAAGCCTTACTACGTTGTGATTTAAGTTTACTGACCTGCATTTTTATGCTCTGTGAATTTACATTTCATCATTCTTTCTTCCTTCATTTCTATTTCATTCAATGTCATTGTAATTGACTCATGCTGTAAAATATACTAAAATAACAAATAACATTGTTCACTAGCATATAAATTACATAAGACTTGTACTCTTTGCTAGATTACTTCAGTAAAATAGTCAGATTTAACAAATGTTCGATGTATTTCCTATGGTACTTACATTGGGTGGACTTTCTAAGTCCTTTGTATTGTGTAGAGGTGGTGGCGTTTCCTTATCATCACAAGAGGCGCAGTTGTCATTTGAAGGAACTGTAAAATACATAACATGTGTCTATTCGGAGAAACATCAAACCTACATTTACCAAATAATGTCTTTGTTTTCTTGACAGCGAAGGCTGATATCTCTAATCCAAACAGACTTGCCATCAGCACCTTTTACGTGTTTATTACACTCGCATCCTGTAATTTTAAAAATGCCAAAAGCAATAAGGATGTAAAAAATTTTCATCTTTCATCAGTATTCATGAGGTCCACACTATCATCCCAAATGAGTCTCATTCACTATATACCACTCCCTTATGGAGCTCCTCTCATCTAATGCTAGTCCATTTTGCCCACTCTCTGTAGGCAGAACTACTTGCTACTGCTAGGTCATCCCAGAATTCCTGGCATGACGCCATCTTTAAAAGGCAGTTGTGCACCAGGTGAAGGGCCATGCTGTCCGGAGCTGCCCTGCATTGGATCGTGACTTGCCCCTGAAATGGCAGATAAGGGGAAACTGATGTCTTGCTTTGCAAATGGGTCCTGGTGGATGGGGTGGTGCAGGGAACAGCTGTTCTCTTTCCTCAGGATTGGCACAGGACTCAGTGACACTCGATCCTGCTAGTCTGGTACAAGGTTGCCACACCAGTCAGTGGAGCCTCCGTGGTCCAGGGAAATGCCCAGCAATACAGGAAGAAAGTCAATGACCTTCTCTGCTGTGCCAGGGTAAGTGCCACCATCTTCTCTCTGATACTTCACACTCCTGCTATCTCTGCTACTGCACTCACCTTTCACCATGACTCATGCTCCATCATTCTCACTGTTATATGCAACATCCTCCCTTGCTTGCTGTCAGCCATTTAATTCTCCAAGGCTAACAACACTGCATGCCTTCTGCATCCCCGACTCACTCGCTTAGGACATCTCACCACCTTTCCACCACCTGTATCAGCACTAACTGTGGCAGCCACCTTCACCTCACTCAATCCCTCCCTTTGTCTCATGCCATGAGAAAATGGCTCACAATAAGACACAAAGAGCCAAGATGAATGGTGGGGTACCCAATATTCGACTCCTCATCCCCTGCAATGACAGGATCCTGATTGTGACCAATCCAAACGGCTGAATGACCGTGCCGGAGCTCCTGGACTCATAGTCTCAGGAACCCCTCCCTGAAGAGTGTTTTCCTTGATTTGACTAAGGACTACTCTCTTAGACTATGAGATACGGCCATTGCTAGCATGTTTGCTGCCAATACTGCTGGTACATGATGCAGGTGTGAGATTGTCACAGCATGACAAGCTTACTGGCTTTGAGGTATTGCTAAAAGGCAAAGCGGAACAGAAGTATTGTGTGCATGTTAGCTAAGGCTGAGGGAGCAAAGCACACAAGACAAGGCACAACAAAGATGCTAAATGTACCCATTTGGCTCAAAGTGAGTGAGTGCTAAGACAGGAAACATGATCCCTGAGATGCAGCCTGGTCCAATTCATGAGATAGCTGCCTGGGCCTGCACGCAAAGTGTCTTGGCAGCAGCATTCCCAATAAAAGAAAGAAGCAAGCTGAGGTCTCTAAATAACAACAGTGACTTTCACGTTGGAAATTCCCAGAGTCTACTTTCTATCCAGTGGGCAGGAGAATGGAAAACTGTATATTAATGAGGCAAGTTTAGGTAGTAATTAAAAAGTGATAATGAGTGACCCATGCAAATGGGCCTCTCACAGCTCACTAGTGAGAATTTCATCTTGCGGTTTTGGAAAATGGGACTTTTTGTTTCCAACGTCAAGAAGGTACTTGCTGAACTTCTCACCCGAATTTCTCAAATTTCTCACTACGGACAACCTCATTCAGAGGCTGGAAAGATTCCAACGATTAACTTCATTTCGGTTTCCACAAATATTGCAAGCCTTGTTTAATATTTCCAACTTTTCTGCATTTTTTCTTTCAGATTGTCAGTATTATGTTTTGCTTTTGTGTTTACAGTAAACATTTCTGTCATTAGATCCTTCCAAACCACACCAATCACATAACTATTAGTTGTTCGCAAATTCAGCAAACAAAGAATGCCCAATTTGTAAAAGACAGGATATTAACAACTTCCCATGACAAAAATTATGCCATTCGACAGAATGCAGGATATTTCCTAGGTGCCAAGACCTAAAATAGTATATGGTACTTATTAACTGCACACACCCTGGTGTATGCATCCACCTTCTGACTAGCAAAGTGCACTGTTGTCCTTTGCAAGTTCTAAAGAGGAAAATATTCACAACCACCTCAAATGTGCAATGGAAGGGGACAGCAGCTTGTCTGTTTTGCTGACACTGAAACAAGGATTCGGGGCACTGTCCCCTTCTACTGCACACAGACTTTGTTTCATGCTTCCATCCTGATTTCATTTTGTTTCTTATGGTTTGGTAAAAGCTGACAAAGTTTTAAAAAAACATGTAAGCAATTATAGCTAAGTAATTGCCAAATCTACTTGGATGTATTCCAGGAGGTTCAGCATCATGACTTCTTGTATGCAGTGATCAGTCATTTCCAACAACATGCCAGTATAGGGTTGGTTATGAAGAGGAGTGATTTGATTATTCTGTGTTTTAACTCCTTCGTTGGTAATTGCAGGGGTATAGCTTAAGGTATGTTTTAGCAGATGGAAAAAATAACAGCTGAGTCTTAATGTTGTTTTGTGCTTCACAATGGAAATCTAACACCTGACTATGCAATCATAAATGACAAGAGGGCACAAAGTTCCTCAATGTGGTGACAAAGGAAAGTTGTTACATGTAAAATACTTTGTGCAGCACCCAAACTTTGTTTCTTTCCCACACACATATGGGAATTAGGAGTAAAAGGCAGAGAACATAAACCATGTTTAAAACATTGCACAAGAAGTGAAAGAAAGATTGGGATATACATGACAGATAAAAGAAGACTGAACAGTGTGCCCTGAGAAGGAATAGGGTATCTCTGACAACATCTGAATTTCTGCATTTAAATAAGAATATACTGGTGCCAGAAGTCAATTCTACCCAATATTAATGGTGAACACATTCTGCAAATTCCTCCTCATCTATCTTAAATGGGTGATTCCTTATTCTGAGATTACACCTTCTGGTCCTAGATTCTCCACAAGGGAAAATAACCTCAGCATCAGCCCTGTCAAGACCCCTAAGAATCTTTCCATAAAGTTCCTTCTCATTCTTCAAAAGGCTAATGAGCACAAGCCCAATCTACTCAACTTCTTCTAATATCTCTCTATACCCGGGATCAATCTAGAGAACCTTCTCGTCTGGACTGTCTCCAATAGCAGTATATTCCACCATGCATTCCACTAATTACAATTTGCCATCCTGACAATGACTCTCTTATCCCAACTCTCTGTCTTCTATTAGTTAGCTGATCTTCTATCCATGCTGATAGATTATCCTCATCATTATGAACTCTTATCTTATTAAGTAGCCCAACCTCTAGGTTTGTAATCTCTGGATTCTCCCTGTGCCGTGTGATAGTGAGGTTAGAAATAGGAAGACAATACAGATGGATGCAGGGCTAAAGAGCTGCTGTAAGAAGGAGGGCTTCAGATATCTGGATTATTGCGATCTCTTCCAGGGCAGGAGGGACCTATATACGAAGGACCAGTTGCGCCTAAATTAGAGGGGCACCAATATCCTGGCAGGGACGTTTGCTAGGGCCATTCAGGAGGATTTAAACTAGTGTAGTGTGGTGGTTAACCAAAGCAATGGGTCAGCATGAGGAGTGATTAAGGACAAGGTACAGTTTTAGACAAGTAAGTCTAATTAGAAGAACAGGCGGACCATGTTAATGAAATGATATGACTGGTGGTCCGAAGTATATTTATTTTATTGCAAGGAGTATAACAGATAAGACAGAGGAGTTTAGAGGATAGATTAGTACATGAAACTACAATGTTGTAGCTATTACAGAAATTTGGTTCAGAGAAGGGCAAGATTGGCAGCTCAATGTTTCAATGTTTAGATGTTTTAGGCATGATAGGGAGGGATGTAAAAGGGGTGGGAGAGTTGTATTATTGAATGAGGAGAATATCACAGGAGATCTTGGAGGGATCATCCACTGAGGCCAAATGGGTAGAACTTAGTAACAAGAAAGGTGTAATCACTATGATTATTATTCTATTGGCCTCCCAGTAGACAGCGGGAGATAGATAAACAGATATGTAGGCAGATCATGGAAAGATGTAAAAACAACAGGGTTCTTGTGGCAGGTGATTTTTAACTTTCCCAATATTGACTGGGCTTCCCTTAGTGCCAGGCCTTAGATGGGGGAAAATTTGTCTAGTGCATTCCGGAGAGTTTCTTGAAACAATATGTAGATAATCCAAGTAGGGAAAGGGTCATATTAGACCTTATACTGGGGAATGAGCCTGGCTAGGTGATCCAAGTTTCAGTGGGAAGCATTTTGGAACTATAATTCTGTTTTAAGATAGCTATAGATAAGGGTAAGACTGGTCTTTGGGTGAAAGTGCTAAACTGGGGGAAGGCTAATTATAACTGTATGTGGCAGGAACTGGGGAAATTAGATTGGGTCGCTGACTGACAGCAAATCCACATCTGACATATGGGAATCTTTCAAAGGCCAGTTGATCATAATTCAGGACCAGCATGTTCCTGTGAGAATGAAATATGAGGATGGCAAGATTTGAGAACTCTGAATGACAAGAAATATTAAAGTTTTCATCAAAAAAGAAAAAGGAAGCATATGTAAGGCTTAGGAAACTGAAATCAGACAAGGAAGCAGGTATATAATTGAGAAATATAAAGGAAGCAGGAAAGATTTTAAACAAGGAATCAGGGCAGCTAAAAGGGGCATGAAATGTTTTTGTCAAGTAGGATTATGGAGGATCCCAAGGTAGTTTGTACATATATTAGGGGCAAGAGGGTAGCTAGGGAACAGGTAGGTCCACTGAAGAACAAAGGAGGGAATTTATGCATGGAACCAGGGGATGTGAGTGAGGTCCTTAATGAGTACTTCACATTGGTTTTCACCAAAGAGAAGGACATGGATGATGGTAAGATTGGGGAGAGATATGTTGATATTTGAGGGCATGTCGATATTAAGAAGGAGGTGTTGGGCATCTAGAAAAACATTAAGGTAGATAAATCCTCAGATCCTAATGGAATCTATCCCAGGATACTGAAGGCGGCAAGGGAGGAGATTGTTGAGGCCTTGACAAAGGTTTTCATATCTTCTTTAGCAACAGGTGACATCCCAGAAGACTGTTGAATAGCCAATATTGTTCCTTTGTTTGAAAAGGGCAAAAGGGATAATCCAGGAAATTATAGTCTGGTGAGCCTTACATCAGTGAAAGAGAAATTATTGGAGAAGATTCTTAGGGACATGATTTACTCACATTTGGAAACAAATAGGGATAATCAACATAGCTTTTTGTTGGGGAGGTCTTGTCTCACAATTTTAATTGAGTTTTTTGTGGAAGTGACACAGATGATTGATGCGGCTAGGGCAGGGGATGTTGTCTACCTGGACTTTAATAAAGCATTTGCTAAGGTCCCTCGTGGTAGGCTGGTCTAGAAGATCAAGTCACATGGGATCCACGGTGATTTGGTAAACCAGATACAAAATTGGCTTAACCATAGGAGACAGAGTATAGTTGTGGAGGGCTGATTTCTGACTGGAGGTCTGTGGCTAGTGGTATTCGGCAAAGATCAGTGCTGGACTTCTGTTGTCTGTAATGTATATATATATATATATATAAATGACTTGGATAAAAATGTAGGTGATCTGATTAGTAACTTTGCAGATGACACAAAAATTGCAGGAATTGTGGATAGTGAGGAAGGTCGTTAAAGGATACAGCAGGATATAGATAATTGGGAAGTTGAGCAGAGAAATGGCAGATGGAGTTTCATCTGGACAAACGTGAGGTAATGCATTTTGGGAGTTCAAATACAAGAGGCAAGTATATGTAAATAGCAGGATGTTTATGAGCGCTGATAATACAGCGGGATCTTGGGATGCAATTCCACAGCTCCCTGAAAGTGGCAACATGAGTGAGTCATACAGTTATAGAGTCATTGAGATGTACAGCACGGAAACAGACCCTCTGGGCCAACTTGCTGATGCTGACCAGGTATCCTAGATAAATCTAGTCACATTTGCCAGCATTTGGCTCATATCACTATAGACCCTTCCTGTTCATATACCCATCCGGATGACTTTTAAATGTTGTAATTGTACCAGCCTCCACCACTTCCCCTGGTAGCTCATTTCATACACACATCACCCTCTGTGTGAAAAAGTTGCCCCAACCTATGCCATCTAGTTTTAGACTCCCCCATCCCAGGGAAAAGATCTCGTCTATTTACCCTATCCATGCCCCTCATGATTTTATAAACATCTATAAGGTCACCTCTCAGCCTCCAACGCTCCAGGGAAAATAGCCCCAGCTCACATTCTCCCCATGTCTGTGTGGGTTTCCACTGGGTGTTCTGGTTTCCTCCCACAGTCCAAAGATGTGCAGGTTCGGTGGATTGGCCACCCTAAATTGCCCATAGTGTTCAGGAATGTGTAGATTAGGGGGATGGGTCTGGGTGGGATGCTCCGAGGATCGTGTGGACTTGTTGGGCCGAAGGGCCTGTTTCCACACTGTAGGGATTCTATGAATCTCTCTCTATAGCACAAACCCTCCAACTCTGGCAACATCCTTGTAAATCTTCTCTGAACCCTTTCAAGTTTCACAACATCCTTCGTATAGCAGTGTGACCAAAATTGCACACAGTATCCCAAAAGTGGCCTAACCAATGCCCTGTACAGCTACTACATGACCTCCCAACTCCTACACTCTATGCACTGACCAATAAAGGCAAGCATACCAAACACATTCTTCTCTATCCTATCTATCTGCAACTCTATTTTCAAGGAAATATGAGCCTGCATTCCAAGGTCTCTTTGTTCAGCAACACTCTATAGGACCTTACCATTAAGTCCTGCCCTGAGTTGCCTTTCCAAAATGCAGCATCACACATTTATCTAAATTAAACTCCACCAGCCACTCCTCAGGCCATTGGCCCATCTGATCATGATCCCATTGTATTCTGAGGTAATCTTCTTTGCTGTCCACTACACCTCTGATTTTGGTGTCATCTGCAAACTTATTAACCGTCCGTACCTCCTATCTTCACATCCAAATCATTTATATAAATGACAAAAAACAGCAGACCCAGAAATGAGGCTTGTGGCACACCGTTGGTCACAGGCTCCGGTCTGAAAAGTGACCCTCCACCACCACCCTCTGTCTTCTACCTTCCAGCCAGTTCTGTATCCAAATGGCTCGTCCTCCCTAAATTCCATGTGATCATACCCTGCTAACGAGTCTACCATGAGGACCACTGTCAAATGTCTTACTGAAGTCCATATTAATCACATCCACTGCTCTGGCCTCACCAATGCCTTTGTTACGTCTTCAAAAAACTCAGTTGTTAGTGAGACATGAGTTCCCACGCACAAAGCCATGTTGACTATCCCTAATCAGTCTGTGCCTTTCCAAACACATTTAAATCCTGTCCCTCAGGAGTCCCTCCAAAAACATGCCCACTACCAATCAGGCTCACCGGTCGATAGTTCCCTGGCTTTTCCTGAGTGGATAAAGTGATAGAGAAGACACACAGCATGCTTGGTTTATCGGTCAGGATGTGGAGGTACCGATGTTGGACTGAGGTGGATAAGGTCAGAAATCACACAACACCAGGTTATAGTCCAACAGGTTTATTTGAAAACACAACCTTTCAGAGCTTCAGTCCTGAAAAAGGTGTTGTGTGATTTTTGAAGTTTATTGGTCAGGGCAGCGTATAAAAGTTAGCAAGTCATGTTGCAGCTGTATAAAACTTAAGTTATGCCACATTTGAAGTATTGTGTGCAGTTCTGATTGCCACAATATAGAATGTGGAGGCTTTAGAGAGGGTGCAAAAGAGGTTTACCAAGATATTGCCTGTATTGGAGTGTAATAGCTATAAGGAGAGATTAGATAAACTTGGAGTTTTTGCTAGAGTGTCGGAAGCTGAGGGGCGACCTGATAGAAGTTTATAAAATTGAGAGGCATAGATAGAGTGGATAGTCAGAGTCTCTTTCCCCAGGGTGGAAATGTCAAATACTAGGAGGCATAGGTTTAAGGTGAGACTGGAAAGTTTAAAGATGAGCGAGGCAAGATTTTACACAAAGAGTGGTAGATGCTGGAATGTGCCCCAGTGTAAAAATATATAGGATAGCAACAGTTAAGAGGCATTTAGACAGAGACATGAACAGGCAGGGAATACAGGAACACGGATCTGTGAAGGCTGATAGAATTAGTTTAGAGTGGCATCATGGTCAATGCAGGCATGATGGGACGAAGGGACTGTTTTTGTTCTGTACTTTCTGTGTTCTAACATGAAATGAAATGCTTTTTGGAAATCTGAATACATTAGACCTACTGGTTCCCCTTTATTGATCCTGCTTGTTGCTTCCTCAAAAGAATTCTAATAAATTTGTCAGACATAATTTCCACTTCATGGAACTATGTTGATTCTGCTTGATTAAATTATGTACTTCTAAATGCTCTGCTATTACATCCTTTACAATCGACTCTCACATTTTCCTAATAACAGATGTTAAGCTAATTGGCTTAGAGTTACCTGTTTTCTGCTTCCTTCCCTTTGTTGAATAACGGTGTTACATTGGCAGAAAAGAGATAAAGAGAGATAGATGAAGTTAAACTAAAAATGGAGCATTGTTGCAATTATATGAACTTGAGTTGATGTGAAGAAATGAGATTGACTCAATTTGATTTGTACATGGAATTTTCACTTAGTACTTAAATTTAGTAAGATGTACTTTGTGTTCTTCAAGAAAATTTCCATGGATATAAAGTAACAGAAAAAATAGTGGTCTAATGCTCCTAGCAAGTCTTCGAGTTGTCCTCTTCTCTTGAAGCACAGAACTTGTGTGATTACCAAGAAGCATTCAAGATGAGACGGCGTCATGGTGATAATATCATTAGCCTGTTAATCCAGAACACCAAGCTAATGCTGGAGGGACATGGGTTCAAATCCTACCATGGCAGATGGTGAAATGTGAATTCAATAAAAATCTAGACATAAGGCAACCATGTAACTACTGTTGACTGTTGTAAAATACCATCTTGTTCATTAACATCCATATGGGAAGGAAATCTGCCAGCCTTACCTGGCCTGAGCAATGTGGTTGACTCTTAACTGTCTTCCCTGTCTTAACTTAAACACGTTTTGGTAATAAATGCAAACCAGTGATACCTTCATTCCATGAATGAATTTTTAAAAACATAATGAATGTGTACTCAGAAATGGCTGCTGATCATGAGTTAATTCATAAAATGATCAATAACATCCCCTTTCCTGGAGCAACCAAAGAAACTGATAATGAGATGAAAGTTGATGATGTGGAGAGATCAAAAGGAACAGATCCAACTCTTCTTGATTAAGAAGAAGTAAAGGGGCCTTGACTTACTCCAGTAGTCCTACGTCTTTTTTACTGCCTCAAGGACGTGCATTGTGGGAGCTGAATTCTTTGAGGGAACTTGATCTAAGGAGAAAATAGACCCCAGAATAATGATAGCAGTCATCCTAACAAAGCTGTCCAAGCTGTCATCATTGGGGCTCTGCTGCATTGATTAGAGAGCTGACTACTTATCTACGGTTTATTACAGAGCATCAATGGCTTGCTAAATACCAGCTGAAACTTATCCCTGTATGTTCTATGCCATTGGGTACAAGCTCTCTGGCAGAATGTCCAGTGAATTTTGGAAAGGTCTTGGAATAACTGCATCAGTCTTTGACTTTAGGTTATGTTCTCGAAATTGTCTAGTCTAATCTCTCCCATAAGTCTAGGCTATGACTTCTCTCTCTAGCAAGCTCCTTCCTGAACTGTCCCATAGCCCTGCCATTACTATACCAGATGAGCCTCTCACTGCAGACCCGACTAGCTCATCCTGAGGCATATGTGCAGTTAGGTGGTGTGGCACGGTTTGATCTCCTGTGATGCTTTCTGTCAGCTCCTCTTCCTCCCGGTACTCTACATTTTGTTGATCTAAAAGGAATAAGAGGGATAAGGATTAGATTTTAGATAAACTTATGAATGTAGCAGAAATAGACAACTGGAAGTAGCCACATTTTGCCACTCTTGGTGTGTGAGGATGAGACTTGAATGAAGAGTGAAATGTAGTCAATAATCCTGTAGAATGCATCCTCTGGCCAGTCACTTACAATTGCCGAGCCCCCAGAATTTCCATGACTTACTCCTTGAATATGGAGAGAACGTGAACAGATTCTATGTCTCCACCTTTCTGCTTCCAGAAGATTTCCTGCAGCCAAAATAAACTTCCATTTTTAAGACATTTTAAATAGTGGCATGGCCACCAGACAATTTGACAATGAACCTGACAAACAACAGCAGGACTAATGCTGCCAATCCACTGAATTAATTATAATGAGGGTTCTTAATGCTTCCATTAATCCATTTATCTTTATATCCATACCTGATGTTAAATTTTAGCTGCTAGCCAGACTTTTCAACACCCTCACAAGATTAGATGCTGGACCCAGTGTAAATCTACTCTAGAACCTTATACTAATGATTTAAGTAGACTAAACCTATCAAATGACCAACTCTGACTGGTCATTTTTCTTAATGTTTCTTGAGATGAGTTCACACTCCAATTGCCTCTGCTTCTCACTCACCCACCCAAGTTTTTCCCCATATCCACAAAATTTGTACAAACAATAAACAAAAATGTTGAGGATTTTTAAATAAAGATAGCAAATTTTTAAAGTACCTATAGTAGCATGATTTTTGAACACACAGAATTGCCCAAATTCATGAAGTTTATTGCACTGGCATCAGGTCATTACAAACATGAAGGGAAATTAAGGTTAAACAAGGAAGTATTTCTATGGAATACAGCCTGTGGTTTACACTGGGTTAAGTAATCCTCTGTCTGTCCGTTCCTTCCTTGTCCCAAAGTCAACCTTTTAACCAAAGGGTCTGTTCGACTCCTCCCTCATCATTGCCACTGATTGATGAAGGCACCAGCATACCTGCTTGAGCTCCCTAGCTCAGCATACTCCTTCAATGTTGCCAACTGCTGTTGGGGAAGCACAGAATGGCCATTTGTTAAGCAGTTGCCTCTCACAATTTACTCCCTCACAGTTTGACAGAACTCATCAGCAGTCATCTGGGACAAAAATGCCACTTTTTGGTTGGTCTTTCTGTTACTTGATGTCCTGCTTGATCATGATTTCTTATCAATGCTTGACACTTGAGGCTGTCGGGAAAAATGAGTTGCTTCACCTCACTCTCCTTGTTATGAACCAAGGCTGAAGAATGGTTGAGGACTCTATCCTTCCCCCTAATCGTCTCCAGCACATCAAAAGTGCACTCTACTGAAACCTGTGAAAATCAACTGAAGCTGTCCGAGGTCTTCTTTCAAGACCGATGCAAATTGAAACCACATCTGGCTCCATCTGTCTGGACCTAGTTTCAATTTCACTCAAAAGTACAGCAGTGACACTCTGCTGAATCTTAGTCTGGTGTTCAGCGGCCTATTGGGTCTCCGAAGGTCTAAGTTTGATAGACGCTTGAAATTAGCTGAATGGGTTATTGTCTGTAAAAAGTTCAGACTTGGTACTGATGAGAGTGTTTCTGAACTTCTGGAAGATGGTCTACTCAAAGCTACAGTTTTAGTTCCATACTGGAGTAAATCTCTGCATTCCTCACACTCAGTCTGAGACTCCTATTAGCATAAGCATTAACTACTCATTTCAGGTCTTGAACCTGTGACACCACTGCTCCTAGGTCAATGAAACTGGGGTCAGTTTCCATTATGAAAGTGAAATAAAAATCAGCCAAGGACAGGTGATCAGATAAACTTCTGCTTGAGGGTATAAATATCTTCACATGCTGTACTCCAACTGCCTGTGATGCTCAGTGAAGTACGATGTCGTTTACATCCTTTCCCAATATCACCTGCAGCATTCTCTAATTTCCTCAGCAAATCTTGGAATGGGGCGTCCGACTATGCACAGCCTTGCACAGACTTTCTGTAAGAGTCAATTATACCAAGGAACACACGTAATTCCTTTTCCATATTAGGCTGCGGCAATTTCATACCACTCTGATTTTCTCATCATCAGGAACAATACCTTCCTTGCTAACGAAATTCCCATGGGCTGTACATTTGACCAGAAAGTTGGCACTTCTCTGGTTTGATTTTTAAGTTAATGTGCAACAAGCCGGCTAATGGTGTCTAGTTTTGCAACAGTCTGTTCAAATGTCAATCCAAAGATGAATATGTTGTTCAGATACTCAAGGAGGGACTGGAAATGAAGGATTTCCTAAGGTTTTATCATTCACATGCATGAATTACAAAGCTCAAATCAGCATTCTTCTGTATTCAGAATGTCTTCATTTCAATGTCTTGTTTAGCGATGGGTAGCTGGTTATTACCGTGGGGCAAAGTGAGACCAGAAGTTCTTTGCACCTTTGAGAATTTGCTATGGTTCCTCAACTTAGGTCAAGGATCAGCATCCTCTATGTGGCTTTGCATTGAGGGCTTAGCAATTGACACAGATCCTCAGGTTTCTGTCTTTCATCTTAATGACAAAGACTACAGGAGAACACTTCACAACTCTTGGATGACACCTTGCTCCAAAGACTTCTGCAGGCAGTCTTGAACTTCCTCCCAGTAATGCGATGGGTAAGGAATCTTTCCTGTTTAGTCATCTTCAGCCACAATCCAGGCCACATACCCAAAGTCATCATCATTATACTTACTTGGGAGTATTTACATGGAATGAAGCCTGTTGTTTACACAGGGTTAAGAAATCTTTTGTCTGTCTACTCCTTCCTCCAATGAAGTTTCCTTTTCCCAAAGATGCCCTTTCTTACCAAGAGGTTCTGTTTAGTCCAGCTGCCTGCTGCTGGAGGTCCTGGTAGAATTTTTTGAGCTCCCCTGCTCAGCGCTTTCCTTTACCCTTGCCACCTGCTTCTGGAATATTCCATTACACTATGATTTTACTCCCAGGTTTTCCAGTACATTAAACTTTTAATTCCAAGGAGCGCTCTGGAGAATCCCGTAGAATTGATTATGTCATATATCCTCCCAGCACAGATTGTTCTCAACTCACAAAATGGGGACAACAGTGAACTGCTGCAATCCTGAATTCCTAGCAGAGCCTATCATACACCATGGTAAGCAACCAAGGACTTGTGATTCCAGACCAGCTTCAAAGCAGAGGAGAGCATCTGGTCCTATCCTGGAAGCTGTCTCCTTTGTCAAGAAATAATTTGTGATCCATTAGAACTCTACCACAAGAACATTTTAGAAACTCAGAACAAACTTTTGGAACCCACATTTCATAATTAATTGAACCACTTGAAAACCAACCTATAATTGGTTGTGATTGTTCATGAACTGTCGCCTCACCATTACAGTAAGTCTCAAGTAGATCTTTAATCTTATCATCAGCAAGTTCATCAAAAGCACTCCTTCCAGCTGCACTCTTCTGTTTAGGATCAGCTCCATACTGTAATAGGAGTTTCACAGCCTAAAAAATACAGTACATCATCATGAGAACTCATTCAGCTGAAAGGCTGAAGAGTATTTGTGTTAAATCACTTTGTAATTTATACATTTTGTAACTCAGCACTTCTTACATTTACAGAGTTAAATTCCACCATTGAAACTATCAGGCATGATCCAACTCTTGGAATTTACTGTTCACAGAAAAGAGTCTGTTATTGTTTATTATAAATTTGTAGCTATGGATGGAATTTAGTTGCATGACAGATTGGAGAACAGGTGGAACCCCATGTCCATTCTCAATGGAAGTTCAATACATTTAAATCCTGATGAGTTTAAGAATAATCGGATTTAAGGGGTTCCCTAATGAGCCTAATCATCCTCCCACCACTAGCGGGCAAGTGACATATGTTGGCTTCACTTAATATGGGATTATTTTTCCTTCTGTGTTCTGAGGACGGGTCACTGGACCGGAAACCTTAACTCTGTTTTTTGCCTTCACAGATGCTGCAAGACCTGCTGAGCCTCTCCAGCAATTTTGTTTTTGTTCATTATTTTTCCTTCGCTGGGGGTTGGATGTGTGGCCTCCTGCAAGATTTTCAGAGCCCACCTACCAGCTTTTCCAGCAGCCAGTGCTGAATTCTTAATTTGCTGCTTTGCATGTGCTGTGACCATATATGGGAACATTTAAAAATCTGAGTGGCTTTCTAGTAGTTGGTTAAACATTTTCCTTAGCCACTTCACATCTTCTACAGGGCAACAAGGCTGCGTTAATGGAACACACCCACTTCACCTTATCATCAACAAATTAAGTGGCTTTTGGATCCCGCCAATCATAAAATACAATGACCTATAATTCTCATGCTTATGAAAAAGAAGCATTCATTACAGAAAATAATGCTTGTCTTTGCTTTATTTTAAAGTAGGCACTCATTAAATTGGTTAAATTTGTCCAAAAAGGCACTTTTATCTGCCTTTAATCCTCACTATGGTTGAGAATAATAACAACAAAAGTAATAACCACAGGGGTGCTGGTCATTAACTTTGGAGTTCACTCTGCTATCATGCAGTAGAACTGGAAGGAATTTCAGGAAATATATAAAGTACCCTCTACAATTGCTTGTCTCGGAACAGAACCTCCCAAACTCTCCGAATTCCTAAAATGAATTGACTCTTTAAATTCTGGAGATGTGAGTGAATTGTGTAGATCAGTACTTCTTCATCTGACACATAATCAGTGCCAAACTCAGAAAGCAGAGTTAACATTTTAAGTCCAATGTGTCCAGGGTTCTGCTTTCTTCTCACAGATGTTGTCAGACCTGCTGAGTTTTGCCAGCAATTTCTGTTTTTGTTACATACTTCTGCTACTGTGTGCAAGCGGTGGTGTGTCTGAATCTTTGTATATGTGGTGCCAATCAAGCAGTCTGCTTTGTCTAAGATAGTGTCAAACATCTTGATTATTGTTGAAGCTGCACTCAGCCACTAGATGGGGAGTATTCCATCACATTCCTGACTTGCGCCTTATAGATGGTGGACAGGTTTTGGGGAGTCAGGAGGTGGACTACTCAGTGCAGTATTCCTAGCCTCTGACTTGCCCTAGAGTCGCAGTATTTATATGGAAAGTCCAGTTAAGTTTCTGGTCAATGGTAACCTCCAGGATGTTGAATAGTTGGGGATTCAATGATGGCATTGCCATTGATTGTCAAGGGGCAATGGTTAGATTGTCTCTTATTGGAGATGGTCAATGCCTGGCATTTGTAATCTGACATCTGTTGCTGCTAAAACTGCCAGCTTAGGCCAGGGCAATGACCGCTATGCCAGTAGCTGTGAAGGTGACCTTGGCAATTAACTTATTTTGTGTGTCTCCCCTTTCAGGCTTGTAGTTTGGCACTCACTGATTCACAAAAGAGCTCACTGATGTTTTCAATTCAGTGACAGCTAACTACATTTCATCTTCCATACCAAAGAGAAACAGTCAGAGAGAGCATGTGGCAGTACGAGGAATACAAGTTTCCCCATGGTGCAGGCTGTTAACAGCACATGCTTCCTCAACGAACAACTGGAATGTGCCTATAAGTATAAATCTGCAGCAAAATGTATTATGTCATAGCAGTAATCATTATGCTTTCATTCTGCATAGTTCACTGCACCAGCTGCATTAGAAGTATCCTAAAGGTTGGAAACGAGGATATCTACTGACTCACATCTGCCAATGATGCTGATACGCAACATCCATCTATGGTGTGTATACAATAAAAGCCATATCCTGACACTTTGTTTTATTATTTTCATTAGATATGGGCAACACTGGCTAGCAATTACTGCCCATTCGTAACTGCCCTTGAGGAGGTGGTAGTAAGCTGCCTTCTTGAACCGATGCAGTCCATGCTTGGTAGGTATACCTACAGTGCTGTTAGGAATGGTGCTGAACATTGTGCAATCATTAGCGAACTTCTCCACTTCTAACCTTATGATGGTAGAAGGTCACTGATGCACCCCAGTGCACCTCAGGCCCCATTATCAATATTGTGCAGAGCTGCTGTTATCTGCATCATTTTCACATACAGCCTGGCTATTTAAAAAGGTGAATCAGAGCCCACTTAGCTAGCGGATTTCAAATGGAGGTTGGTGTGGTGGTGGTGGCGGCAGCGATGGTGGGTGGTGAGGGGGAGTTGTGTCAATCACGAGGAATACAAAGTTTGAAAAATACACCTGCTCCTCCAAGCTTCATAGAAACATTTGGAAATTCTTCATCAAGAAACTAAATTTCTTGACAAATGTTACTGTTAAAAAGCATAATACCTCATAATGAGACCCGCTCACAGCATCATGCAATGGTAACACCCCATTCATTCCTTGGCTGTTGACATCAGCACCAGCTTTCAGTAATTCTTGTATGACATCAGTAAGGCCTCTGCTACAAGCTTCATGAAGGGCTGTCCAACCTTGGCAGAAAATTGCAGCATATACAAAATCAGATACCAACAAAGTTATGCAACATAGCTACACTGACTTCAGTAATTTAAACTCTCAAACTCTGATTTCCTATCCCCAGCCTGACATCAATTTGTATGTTGCAGTCAGCAGGGAGATAGCTACACAACAGGGCAAAGGTGCTGGACATACACAGGCCATGATCATGGCAGTTGCCCTACACGCCACCAACTTGTGACCTTCGACACTGGCTCTGCTGTATTTTGTGAAGTCAGCCAAGAGACATCTGCATTAACATATGCATCTGTATGGTGCATGCATACAAGAAAATCTGTCAGCAGTCTGAATTTGGGATGGAGTATGTGGAGACAGCCCTAACGCAAATCTTCTCCTTGAAATTTATATGTATTTTTTCTTTTGGAATGTTTCCTAAGTCAAAACAGCAATATTTTAAAGCCTGAAATGGCAGATATCAAAAAGTCTGTCAATGAGATCTTGTGGTACAGTAGTAGTCATATAAAATATTTGGTAAATATTAATGCTCTCAATGAGGGAACCAAAAATTTTCATGTCTCCTTCTCAAATATTGCTGAAAGAGAGACATGTTGCCAAAGCTTTTTGTATTGTACTCATCAGGATAAATGCGGGAATAGCAAATTTCAGATGATCACAACAATTTATACTACAAGAGAAACTGGTTCTGAACGCCTGACAATTCAGATGGGCCGGGCAGCAGTAGAGAATTCCCTATGCCTCTAGTTAATTCAAAAAAGGCACAAGGTTTGAATATAGTCCTTTTATTTACAGAGAACATGTCACTGTGTAAATGTGCATCACTTCTTAAAAATAAATAAGACACATTATAAAGTCGATTGGCAACGCCTTGGCCGATCATAATTGATCATGTGGATTCACGTATTTATTCATGTTTTCATAATCGGAGCCCAGTTCTCTACATGAAAAGGTATTTGTCCGGGCACTGCGCTCTGTCAATTAAACAAAAACTTTGGGAATATTGTTCCTTGATGCAATCCCCATTGCACATCTCAACCAACAACTGTCAAATTGGCCATAGTCGAACTGAAACCAAAGCTTTGAGGTATCTGTCTCCTGGTGCATTCTATTTGACCTATCAGAATCTAAATGCCAAGCAATCAGCAACCTGCTTCTTGTGTAAAACAAACTGTTGTTCCCTTTCAAATTTGCTGTTCTTACCTCTGTTCTGATGGCTGCAAGGCTAGCACTTTTGTTTTTTCTAATGCCTAAGTCCTGTTCCATCATGGGATTATTTAAATTCATTTTAAAAGCAGCAAACCTGCATTGTCCTTGATATTTATATGGATTCCAGCTGAGATTAGAGATCTTACAGAAGTTAAATCCCCCTTTATCGCAGCAAGATGTAAGCGAGTCTCTCCCTTGCCATTTCTCTTGTTCAGCGCACTTAATTTTGGAGTGTGAGAATGAGAGGTTGGTGTAATAATACTGGATGTTGGACAGCCTGTTAAAATTAAAAATAAGGAAAACAAGTTCATAACTTTGAAATACTGTCTTCAAAACTGAGTTTCCTATATTCTGAAGCAAAAATATCTATGGCACTTATTGGGGTAGGAAATAGACTTTATTGTTCTCATAACAATGACCTCTTTACCAGACCAAAATTAAATTTCTGAACTATCACTGTTAGAAGTATACTAGCTACAGCAGATAAACAAAGTGAGATGAGGAAGAGGTATTTGTAATTAGAGTTCAGGTGCTCAAGAGAAGAAGTAGGGAATATTACAATGAATTTAAAAGCATATTTTGGGAGGATCAATTTGGAAGAGGCAGAAGGAGGGTTTTAGTGAGCAAAATAAATAGATGGAAGTCAGGGAATTGGGAGTGAAAATATTTAGATTTCAAAATCCTCCAGCAGCGAAGAATAAAGAGAGAAGAAAGTGGGAATTTTTACCATCTGTTAAATTAATTATCGAAATAAGTGGGTGCAGTCCCTGATAATCAGTTGCATTGTTATTGACATACTTGATCACAATCCACTCCAAGTGAAACAGCCCTCTTAATATCTTGAAAACACTCAGAGCAAATAGAGTGACTCACTATAATTCAACTCAGGAGAACATAGCTATGACATTAATCATTTACACATGCTGAAAAGTTTAAAACTATATTTCATCTGCAATGCAACAAAAATGTAATATCCTTAGTGATTTGGTAGTGTGTTGCCTACCAGATCTCTTTGCTGTCTCGTTTTCAGTTCTGATGTTTATGTTTATTTCTGCAGATTGTATGCTGTGCATTTGCAATTTATTCCTTTTATCATCATTGCCTTCTGTTTGAGTTACATGGGCAGAGCCATTTTTAATGAGGTCTTGCATTGATCCTCTGCACTTGTTACTTACAAAGCTGCCCCTGGCTTCATTTATATTTGCTTCTTTACCTGTTTCCATGTCAATTCCCATGGACAACTGGCATGCAAAATTTAGCTTATCAAGTGACAGTCCAGGTGTAGTGGCATTAGATTCATCCAAACATGTTTGAGGGCCTGGATGTGAATTTGTAGCTATGGGATTAAACTCGTAACTTGAGACTGTATCACAAGTGGGAGCACTGCTATCGGATTGATCAGTCACAGACATGACTCCTTTGTGTTTTTCTCTGAGTATAACTGGTTCAAGTATCACTGCCTTACTAACGTCTCCAGTAGGGACCATATTGTTACTTAATTTATATTCTGCAATCCCATTATCAAGACTTTCAGAATCTGATGCTGTAAAACAATTGAATTCTTGCTGTGAGGAAACATGTTCTGAGATCATTGATACACATGGCTTCTCCGCGGATTCATATTCAGAAATCACTGAGTGACTACATCTCTGTTCTAATATAACAGAAGCTTCTACACTGCATTCAGTATTCTCTTCTGGGACTTTGTTTTTGGTGGGTTCACGCTTCCTAATCTCACCTTTTTGGAATTCAACACCCATCGTACTCAGCTCAGTAGATCTACAATATTCCACGCGTGACATGTGTCCAGCAGAATAAGAGACTTCTGTGGAACCAACATCATAAAAATCATCTTTCCTGGTTTCCAATGTAATTGTATGATTGATGGTGTTTTCATCAATGTTGTTTTCTGTGTCTCCTTGAATAAGGGGTTTTGGAACCATTTCCACATTATCATTATAACTGGTTTTTACGTTCATCAAATCATCTTTGCTTTGTGTTTTTGGTGGTGACTGTTGTGAATGATTTGAAGATTTTTTCACGTGTGCTGCTGGCACACTGCTGTTGCTTGCATCCAGCGTTTCTATTGTAACTAATTTGTCATTTGTTGTGTTGTTGGTATTGGATTTGTTGATCACACTTTGTAACATGTTGACTGTGCAAAATTTCTCAGTTGACTTAGCTTCCATATTTGGGGAAGTCAGTTGATTTGCAGTGAGTTCCTCAATCCTTTCACAATGGTTCACAGTAGCGATCATTCGATTTTTACTCACAGCGACACAGGGTTTAACTGTTACTATATGTTGTTGGGGGTTTTCAGCACTAGGTTGTTCAGATTCAGTTGATGTTTTCTCAATTTCACCAGAAAGGCCACACACTGAATTTCTGATCCTTGTAGATCGTCTCACTGCTATCTGAGCTTCAGTTGGGCCATCAGGAACTACAACAGTGCCAGATGTGCAACTATTAGGATCGATCTTAGTCTCCTTCACAGCTACAGAGGAAGCTACGGTCTGAATTTCATCTCTGTTTGGAGCTTCAGATTGGCTATTTAAAGGGTTACATTGTATTATCTGTTGTTCTGAATGACCAGCAAGCTGAGACTGTAATTTCAACATGTGACGTGTGGTAACATTTATCTGAGACTGTCTCACATCCACAGACTTCGCCTGATTTTCAATTACATTAGTGGCAGCTACTGTATTTTGGGTCTGTTTGTTGGACTGGACATGGCTTTCTGCTTGATGTGTGCTTTCTGTTTTTCTCTTCAGGGTCAGGATTCTGTCATTCATCGTAGCCATTTTAGAATTCCTGCTCTCCTGAAATCAAATGCATCAGAAAATAAGCACAAGTAACTAAAATAATCAAAACAAATTAACAATAATAGTAACAGTTTCTACACATATCTGTTCACATCCCTTGAACAAATAAACAAGTTATGAGATATAAAGGCTTTGAGGTACATCTCTGATCACGTGTGGTAGTTGACAGGCACAGTTCTTGAGTCTACAATTTGTTTGCAGTTCCCTGTTTCTTTTCAAGGCTCAAAACCCTGGTGCCTTCATTGCATTGTACAGCAGAATCCAACCAAAAAGCAACCAGAGGTTAATCAAGACCTTCACATTCAAGGAAGAACAGTCTTCCTTTCTAGGCATGACAGGGTGGAGAAGAAAGGGCAGTAAGCACAGCAGCTTCTCTGTCATGGATTTTCACAATCCATTAGCCATCACTGGGAAGCTCATCCAGCTGATCACTGCACACAGTTCCATGGCCCAGTGGAATGACAATGACTGAATTTCACCTACTTCGTGTTGCTGTCTCACAGGATTACAGCAAATGTCAGGCTCCTGGACCCCAGAATTGAATCATAGAATCATACAATACAGAACAGGCCCTCAGTCTGCACCGACTAAACTAGTTTGCACTAAGACAACCAGGTGCAGAGCTGGATGAACACAGCAGGCCAAGCAGCATCATAGGAGCAGGAAGGCTGACGCTTCGGGCCTAGACCAGCTCTGCACCTTGTTGTCTCGGATTCTCCAGCATCTGCAGCTCCTACTGTCTCTATTTTGCACTAATCCCACTTTCCAGCACTGGGTCCGTAGCCGTGAATATTATGACGTTTCAAGTGTTCATCTAAGTACTTTTTAAAAGTTATGATGTTTCTCACTTCAATTACCCTCCCAAGTGCATTCTGGACCCTCTGAGTGAAAACACTTTTCATCAAAACCCCTCCAACTTCCTGCCTTTCACCTCAAAATGATGCAACCTTGTGACCCTTCAGTTAAGATAAGCAGGTACTTCCTATCCGAATAAAAACCAAAAGACCTGTGGATGCTGCAAATCAGAAACAAAAACAGAAGGTGCTGGAAAAATTCAGTGGGCCTGGCAACTCAGTTCAGAGGAAGTGTCACTGGACCTGAAACATTAACTCTGACTTTTTTCTTCACAAATGCTGCCAGACCTGCTCAGCTTTTCCAGCAACTTCTGTTTTTACTTCCTATCCACCCTGTCCACATCTCTCATAATATTCAACACTTAAATCAGGCACGCCCACAGCTCTCTCTTTTTTTCTAAAGAAAACAACCCATGCTCATTCAGCATCTATTCATAGCTAAAGTGCTCTATCCCAGATAACATCCTGGTAAATTTTATCTGCAGCCCCTCCAGTGTAGGTACATCTTTCTTACAGTCAGGTAACCAGACGGCACGCAGTACTCCAGCTGCACCGTGGCCTAACCAAAGTCCTATACAACGACAACATAACTTCCTTGCTCTTAAAATCTAAGCCGCAACTGTAAAAGTCAGTGTTTTCTATGTATTTTAACAACCTTATTAAAATGTCCTGCCCTCTTTAAGCATCTGCGGACAAGCACCCCAAGACACCCCTGCTTCTCTGTGCTTCCTAGTGTCCTGCCATTCATTGAGTACTCACTTGGTTTGTTCCTTCTTCTGCTCTTATCCTTTCGTGATAGTTCAGAGTAGCTTTTGATCTATTCTTACTCACGGCCACACAGGGTTTAACTGTTACTACATTTTGTTGGGGGTTGTCAACACTGGGTTGTTCAGATTCAGTTGACATTTTCTCAGTTTGGCCGGAAAGTCCACACATTGAACTTCTGATCCTTGTAGATTGTCTCACTGCTATCTGAGCTTCAGTTGGACAGTCAGGAACTACAACAGTGCCAGATGTGCAACTATTAGGATCGATCTTAGTCTCCTTTATTGCTACTGTGGAAGGTGCAGTCTGAATTTCATCTCTGTCTGCAGCTTGAGATTTCCTATTTAAAGGGTTACATTGTATTATCTGTTGTCCTGGATGATTACCAAGCTGAGACTGTAATTTCAACATGTGACGCGTAATAACATTTCTCTGAGACTGTCTCACATCCACAGACTTCGCCTGATTTTCAATTACATTATTGGTAGCTACTGTATTTTGGCTCTGTTTCTCAAACATGACGTGACCCTCTACTTGATGTGTGCTTTCTGTTTTTCTCTTCAGGGTCAGGATTCTGTCACTCATCACAGCCATTTTAGAATTCCTGCTCTCCTGAAATCAAATGCGTCAGAAAATAAACACAAATAACTAAAATAATCAGAACAAATTAACAATAACAGTAACAGTTTCTACACATATCTGTTCACATTCCTTGAACAAATAAACAAGTTATGAAATATAAAGGCTTTGAGATACATCTTTGATCACGTATGGTAGTTGACAGGCATAATTCTTGAGTCTACAATTTGTTTGCAGTTCCCTGTTTCTTTTCAAGGCACAAAACCCTGTTGCTTTATTGCAATTTGCAGCAGAATCCAACACAAAAGCAACCAGAGGTTTATCAAGACCTTCACTTTCAAGGAAGATCGGAATTCGTCTCTAGGCTCAACAGGGTGGAGAAAAAAAGGACAGCCAGCACAGCAGCTTCTCAGTCATGGATTTTCACCACACATTTGCCACCGTTGGGAGGCTCATCCAACTAATCAGTGCATACAGTTCCACGGCCCAGTGGAATGACAATGACTGAATTTCTCCCACTTCGTGTTGTTGTCTCACAGGATTACAGCAAATGTCAGGCCCCTGGATCCAGAATTGGATCATAGGATCATACAACACAGCAGGGGCCCTAACTCTGCACTGACTGAACGGCTGTGCACTAATTCCACTTTCTGGCACTTGGTCCATAGCCTTGAATATTATGACATTTCAACTGTTCATCAAAGTACTTTTTAAAACTTAGGAGGTTTCCCACTTCAATTA